GTCGGCGCGACGATCCGGGGCCGCTACGAGATCCTCGGCGAGGCGGGCCTGGGCACGTTCGGGCGCGTCGTCGAGTGCGCGGACCGCGAGGCGGGCCGGCGCCGCGTCGCGCTCAAGGTCGTGCGGCGCATCGAGCGCTACACGGAGAGCGCGGCCGTCGAGGCGGAGATCCTGCGGGACGTGAACCGCGCGGCGGCCGGCGGCGGCGCCGGCGGCGGCCTCTGCGTGAAGCTGTTGGACACGTTCGAGTTCCAGGGCCACTTCTGCCTCGTCTTCGAGAAGGCGGGCACGTCCCTCTACGATTTTCTCAAGGGCCACGACTACGCGCCCTTCGGCCCGCGCACCGTGCGGGCCGTGTCCCGCCAATTGCTGGAAGCGCTCCGGTTCCTCCACGGGTTGCGCCTCGTCCACACGGATTTGAAGCTGGAGAACGTGCTGCTGCGGCGGTCCGGCGTGGCCGCGCCGCCCCTCGACGACCGGGGCCGCATCGAGCTCGCCGACGGCGACGCCGCCATCGTCGTCATCGACTTCGGGGGCGCGACGTACGACGACGAGCGCAAGTCGTCGATCGTGAACACGCGGCAGTACCGCGCGCCGGAGGTCATCCTGAACCTGGGCTGGTCCACGCCGTCGGACTTGTGGAGCGCGGGCTGCATCGTCGCCGAGCTCGGCCGCGGCGAGCTCCTCTTCGCGACGCACTCGAACACGGAGCATCTCGCGCTCATCGAGCGCTGCGTCGGGCCCTTCCCGCGCGCGCTCGTCGCGAAGAGCCGCTACGCCGCCAAGTACTTCGACGGCGACGCGCGCTCCAAGTGGGAGGCCGTGCTCCCGCGCGACGGCCGGGACCACGTCCGCGCCATGCCCAAGCTCCGGGACTACTGCGGCCGCGACGACCACCTCCACATGCTCCTCGCGGGCCTCCTCACCATCGACCCGGACGCGCGCCTCTCCGCCGCGGACGCCCTCGAGAAGTGCCCCTTCCTCGCCCTCGATAACTAGCGGGGAGGAGGCGACCCGGGGGGGGGGGGGGGGGAGG